GGACATTGTTTCGTTCTGCTGTGCATGGGGTAGCTATGAGTTGGTTCCGACTCGATGGCACCTGACAACAACAACAGTTGCCCTCCATATCTGTAGGTTCCACATCAGGCAACCACAGATTAAGGTATTTGCGGGATGAACAAAGCAGCTAAGTGTTTAGGGAAATCCCTCAAATCTCAATATAGAATTTACATTGTATTAGATTTTAGAAGTAATCTACAGATGATTTCAAATATACTGGAAGATGTGTGAAGTTATATGCAAATATTGTACCATTTTATATAAGGGACTTGAGCATTCGAGGGTTTTTGTATCCTCGGTTGAGTCCTGGAACCAATCCCCTGTGGATACTGCAGTGTGACTGTATTGGCATCTCTTAACTTCTGATGAAATATTCTGGTAAGGGCACAACATTACTTTTGTGGTATTGTTGCCAAACATGAACAATCTAAATTTGATCATGAGGCTGCATCAAACCCAAATTGAGGGACAGTCTATTGTATTCTATTTAAATTTTTTGGCTGACTTAATTGGATTATGGTTATTTAAGAGATTAGATTTGGGAGAGATGAATGAAAGGTATATGAGAACTCTGTACTATTTTAAAAACATTTTTGTAAGATTGACATTATTTTAAAGTAGAAAGTTCAAAAAGAGTAGAGTGAAAAAACAAATCAGGTTTGAAAAGACCATATTAATAGCCACATGTGTGAAATATAAGAACCATGAATTATTGTTTAGATTTAAAGGGAATTTATAAATTATCTTTCTCCAGATCAGTGAGCTTTAGCATCTGCAAGTAGTCCTTGCAAAAATAGTGATAAGTTAAATTATGTTAAAATCCTAGAGTAATAAATTAAAAGGGAAATACCTCTCGTGGTATTTATAGGATAAGTGCTCGACAGCTAATCACAAGGTTGGTGGTTCAACCTACCAACTGCTTCTTGGAAACCCTATACAGGGTTGTTGTGAGTCAGAAATGACTCTACAGCTCTTAACACCTGATTTTTTGAGATAAATTACTATTTTTGTTTAATTCCATTGTATTTGTGTATATAGTGAAAACATTTCAGTGTTGAAGAGCATGTTGTAAAGTGTTCGTTTATATAGGGAAGGTATTTTTAGAAATTGAAGGATATCTGGTGGGTTGTGTGTTGGACTGCTAACCACAAATTTCACAGAGGTTTTTTGCTCCCCTAAAGATTTATAGTCTTGGAAACCCTATACAGAGTTGCTGTGAGTCAGAACCAACTTGACAACATACACCAACAACAATTTTCAGAAATTGTGTCTGTTTTCAGGTAGGAAAAAATACGATGTTATTGTGATAGATCCACCATGGCAAAACAAATCAGTGAAAAGAAGTAACAGGTAAGTGGAAATATCTGTTAGATATGCTATGGATTGACTCTCTTAGTACGTGGGAACAATTTTTAAAGATTGTATTTTGTCTGATAGTAGTGTAATCTCTCCAGCTGTTTTATAGTTAACTGTCTATATGCTGTATCTTTCCCCATTTACTTTCAACCTTATTGTGCCTTTGAATATTAAGTTTATCTCTTATAGATAATATGTGGCTGGATTCTGGTTTTTTTTTTAAATCCATTCTGCGAATCTTATTTCATTGGTGCATTTAAGCCATTTACATTTAATGTAATTATAAAGAAGGCCATATTTTGTTATTTTTCTGTCTTGTCTTTATTCCTCATTTCCTTAATTACTGCCATATTTTGTGCTAAATAGATATTTTGTAGTTCACCATTTTAATTCCTTAAAGTTTCTTTTGTTTTGTGTATATATATATAAACTTTTTATTGTGAATTGAGTGAAGGTTAACAAACAAGATCATCAGCTTTACATTCAACCAAATATATGCTTTGTTTCATTTCAATGATTGCAGTCCCCTCCTTGTAACAGCAGTTATCCTGCTTCCTTCTTGTGGCTTCATGCACGCCTCCCTGCCCTTAAGACCAGCTTCCCGCTTCACTGTTAGCTCTAACCCCTAGTGGCTAAGCCAGTGTCCATGGGCTTGAGAGTTTCCACATTTCCCTAAACTTCAGACCAGCTAGGCATTACTCATTTCTCTCTTTGGTTTATCCCTGTGTTTTCATTGATGATCTTTATAGTTCTAGGTTTTACATTTAGGTCTTTAATTCATGTTCAGTTTGTTTTGTATGTGTTGTGAGACATGGATCTTGTTTCATTCTTTTGCAAATTGATTTCCAGTTTTGCCAGCACTATTTGTTGAAGAGACTGTCTTCCCCATTTAATGTATTTTGACCCTTTGTGAAAGATCAGTTGGCTTTGTGTGACTGGATTTACTTCTGGATTTTCAATTCTGTTCCACTGATCTATATATCTTTCACTGTACCAGTACCAGGCTGTTTTGACCACTGTGACTGTGTAGTAAATTTTGAGATTAGATAGTAAGAGGTCTCCAACTTTGTTCTTCTTAAGCAGTGTTTTGCTTATTTGAAGGCTCTTTCCTTTCCATATAGATTCATGATCATTTTCTCCGTCTCTTTAAAGAATGTTGTTGGAATCTGGATTGGGATTGCATTATACCTGTAGATTGCTTTGGGTGGTACTGACATTTTCACAGTGTTAGTCTTTCTATCCATGAGCATGGTATATTCTTCCATTTTTGTAAATATCTTTTTGTTTCTTGTAGAGTAGTGCTTGGTAGTTTTGTTTAAGTCTTTTGTTTCTCTGGTTAGATTTATTTCTAAGTATTTCATATTTTGGGTGGCTATTGTAAATGGTATTGTTTTCCTAATTTCCTTTACAGTGCTGTCTTTATTAATATAAAGGACTCCAACTGATTTTTGTATATTGATCTTGTACCTTGCCCCTTTGCTCAATCTTCCAGTGAGTTCTCGTAATTTTCTTGCTGTATCTTTGAGATTTTCTATGTATAGGATCAGATCTTTTCCAATTTGGATGCTTTTAATTTGCATATCTTGCTTATAGATCTTGGTAAGACTTCCAAAACAATAATGAATAGGTGTGGTGATAAGAGGCATCCTTGTCTGGTTCTTGTTCACAAAGGGAGTGTGTTCAGTTTCTCTCCATTAAGAGTGATGTTGGCTACTGGTTTTATCTATATGTTCCTAACTATGTTGAGGAATTGCCCTTCAATTCCTATTTTGTTGATTGTTTTTTATCAAGAATGGGTGTTGGATTTTGTCAAATGACTTTGTCAGTTGATATGATCATGTGGTTCTTTTCTTTATTAAAGTTCATATAATGGATTACATTGATTGTTTTTCTAATATTGAACCGCATCCTTTGTATAAATCTCACTTGATCATGATGTATTATTTTTTTGATATGTTGTTGAATTCTATTGGCTAGGATTTTATTAAGAATTTTTGCCTCTATGTTCATGAGGGATATTGGTCTATAATTTTCTTTTATAGTGATGTCCTTGCCTAGTTTTAGTATGAGGTTTATGCTTGCTTCATAAAATGTGTTAGGAAGCTTTCCATCCATGTCTATATTTGGAAAAGCTTGATTAAAATTGGTGTTGGATCTTCTCTGAATGTTTGATAAAATTCACCAGTAAAGCCACCTGGACCTGGACAGTTTTAAAAAAGCTTTCTTTTGTGTGAACTGAGTGATGCTTTACATGGAAGAACATCAGTTTTGCACTCATCCTATCATATTTGTATCATTGCAATGAATACAATGCATCATCATTTAACTGTATTTGCTTCTATTCCCCCCCCCCTTTTTTTTTTATGTACACAAAACCACTCTGAAATATATAATCATTTAAACAACCAAAGGGCACATTCTGCAAGCTTGCCTCCTGGCCACCAGCTCACATCCTTTCTCTTTCTGTGAGTCTAGAGTCCTCAGGTGTTCTGTCTCTCCTTGCCCTCACCTCTGCCCACATTCTGCTCATGCTCCTCTCCCTTGATGGTCCTAGGATCCTCTTTTCCTGGAGTGTAAGATTAACTACTCCCCCCTTTATTTTTACAAAACTTCTACCTTTACAGTTGTGACCATCACAATTCATCATGATAACAGTTGCTCACTATTGAATCAAAAGAATCTTATCCCCATCTCCTTTCTCTAGACCCATCTAGACAAGATGAAAACTGTTCAGTGAGGATGCTACCTTATTTCGCACACTCTGAAACTAAACTCCCTCTTGAAAAATTGTAAGCCAGCCACTTTCATGCCTTTGTAGCACAACCCATTTTAGGTAGCCAGTGTCTGTTGCCCATCCCTATCAACCCTGTATACCTAGGGGATATGTTTGATCCTTGATGTTAAGACTCCTTTCCTTTCAGTTGATATTTTGAGTATAGGACCTGTACTTTTTTTGTTGGGAGTACTTTTTTTTTTTGATGACTGGATCAGTTTCTTCTGTTGCTATAGGTTTTTTCAAGTTTTCTACTTAACTCTGTTAATGTAAGTTGTGTTTTTTCTAAAAATGTATCCATTTCCTCTAGATTTTCAAATTTGTTGGAGTATAACTCTTCATAGTATTGTTATTATCCTTTTTATTCCCTTTGGTTCTGTTGTGATGTCACACATACGGTTTTTTACACATTCTATTTATGTCTTCATCCTCTTTTCTTTTGTTAGATTTGCCAGTGGCTTGTCGATTTTATTAATCCTTTCAAAGAACAAGCTTGCCTTGTTGATTCTTTCTATTGTTTTTCTGTTTTCCAGTTCATTTATTTCTGCTCTAATCTTTATTTTTTTCTTCAGGTGACTGTAGACTTACTGATCTTTTTCTAATTGTTGAAGATGTTGTATTAAAGTGTTGACTTTAGTTCTTCTTTTTGGATGTGAGTGTTTATTGCTATAAATTGCCCTCTCGACAGTGCTTTTCTGTGACGCAAAGGTTTTGGTATGTTGTATTTTTGTTCTCATTTGTGTCAAGGAATTTTTTGTTTCACTACCCAGTAGCTTTTAAATGGGGGTGTTATTCAGTTTCATTGTATTTGGCTTGATTTCCTTGGTCTTCCTATTGTTGATTTCTACTTTTATAGTATTATGATCTGAGAAGATGCTTTGTAGTATTTTGATGTTTTTAAATTTATGGAGGCTTGTTTTGTGGCCTAACACATGGTTTATTCTGGAGAATGTTCTGTGTGCACTAGAAAAGAATTTCTATTGTGCTATTGTTGGGTTGAATGCTCTGTAAAAATCTACAAGGTCAATTTGATTGACTGTGTTGCTTAGTTACTCTGTGTCTTTGTTCAGTTTCTTTCTGGTTGTTCTGTCCTTTTTCAAGTGTGGTGTATTGAAATCTCCCACTGTTATTCTAGAGTTGTCTGTTTCTTTTTTTTAGTTCTATTAGGGTTTGATTTATATATTTTGAGGAACATAGATAGTTATTATGGTTATGTCCTCTTGTTCATTTGACCCTTTAATCGTGACATAATAGCCTTCTTTTGTCTCTTATACTGGTTGTTGCCTTAAAGTTTAATTTTAATCTGAGATTAATATTGCCATTCCTGTTCATTTTTTATTGCAATTAGCTTCATATATTTTTTTTCCATCCTTTAATTTTTAATCTATTTTTGTGGTTGTATGCAAGTTGTATATCTTATAGACAGCATATTGAAGGATCCAGTTTTTTAAGCCATCTGTCTCTTGACTGGTGTACTTAATCCATTGGCATTCAATATAATTCTCAATAGGTATGGATTGAGTGCAATCATTATGCTGTTCTTTTTTTGTGTGTGTGGTGCTGCTGGTTTCTTCTTCTGCATGTTTTCTTGTGCTGAGTTCGTTTTTTTGTGTGCTTTTTCTTGTCTATTTCTTTATAGCTTAATGTTTCCAAAATCTTCCTATATTTTTCTTTTCTTGATGTGATGTGAAGAGGTATTAAGTTTCTTTGAGGTTACCCAGTACTTTATTAATTTCTTCCTCATTTTAAACCAGTCTGTTTTATCCTGAAATCTACCTGACTTCCTCACCATCTGGAACTCTGTAACTGTAGTTTTCCCTCCCTTCTTTTTGTAGTTGTCTTGATCATAGACTGACACCCCATATTCCCTGTTTTCAGTCCTGTAGTTCTGTTCTACTCTGGACATTTACATATATGGACTGAATTTCTGGTGGTGTCAATCTTTGGTTGTTGTCTGCTCATGTTGGTTCTCAGTCCAAAGAACTTCCTTTAGCATGTTTTAGAGTATTGGTTTAACTTTTACAAAGTCCTTTAATTTTTGTTTATCCTGAAATGTTATAATTTTGTTACCATACTTGATGGACAGCTTTGCTGACTCTTGGTTGGCAATTTTTCTCTTTCATAGTTTTGTATATGTCTCCCCATTGCCTTCTTACCTGCATGGTTTCTCTGAGAAATCAGAGCTTAATCTTTGGCTTTCCTTTGTAGGTAACATTTTGTT